TCATCCGCCCGTGCTCAGGATTATGCAATAGATTTAGATGAACTCCACCAATTCCTCTGAGAGGAAATGTCGCATGCCCAAGAGCGATATCAGGGACCTGCGGACGCTAGACGGAAAACCGCTCCGGACTTCAAAGTCGGAGATCAGGTATTCGTCAAAGCAAAATATTTCCGCTCGACCCGCCCATCAAAAAAGCTCTCGGAAAAGAATCTCGGTCCATTTGACATCATCGCTCATTCCAGCACCCATTCCTTCACCATCCATCTTCCGGACGCAATGTGATCCGTTCATCCCGTATTCCATGTCTCCCAGTTAGAACCTGCAACTCCGAACACCATTCCTAATTGCATCCAACCCCCTCTGCCTCCGGTCTTAGTCGACGGAGAACCGGAATACGAAATCTCCGAAATTCTGGACTCCAAGATTGACCACCGGAGACGTCACTGCCAACTATTATACTTAGTACATTGGGCCGGATATGAGGGGACAGACGAAGAAACTTCCTGGATACTCGCAACCGAACTCGGAAATGCGCCGGAACTTCTATCGGATTTCCACTCCGCATATCCGGATAAGCCGGGACCAAATTCTAACAAAGAGTAAGGAAAAGACGTGCATATATGTACATTATTTAGGCGTCCGACATCCGGACGTCGGATCCGACTACCTAAGAATCCATCTCCATATCTCCGCCGGATCCGCCGGCTTCCTTTTCCGCCCCCTCAGCAACTTCCTCTTCCGGAGATTCCTCCACATTCATCTGGAATCCATTCCTCAGACCCTCCAAGAAGAGGGTCTGGAATTCCCTCTGCTCCTCCATGAACCGGAGCATGTTTTCACTCACCCGGTCCATTGCAGCCCTACTTCCCTCCGCCGCTCCAATACCCCTCTCCAGCAGCCCATTGGTCCGGGCCAATTCCGCCACTATGTTGTTGGCGGCCGCAACCCAGGCCTGGTCATCATACTCCGTCCAATCCTGTTCCTCCCCAATGACCGTCCGGGGACTGGAGACTATCTCCACGTCGTCGTCAATGTCCTCCGGACTCCGCTGACGCCTCTTTCCTTTGCCCTTGGGGCTTGGAGATCCCTCCGGACGCGCGCGCTTCTTGCCTTTGCCTTTGCCGGCCGGCGCCTTGACAGGCGGATTTCCGCCGACGCACTTCTCCTTTGACGCGCGGCACTGGTCACAAGTCCGGATCTTCCGGCATCATTAGCAATCATCCGGATCCGGACAAAACAATCACTCACCCTAGGCATCTTGGACGCTACTGCCCAGGTGCAAGTCTTGCGCCTGGTGACACACATCTCGCATGCGACCTCCGGATCCGCCAGACCGGAGGACTACAACTCTATGAACATCCGGAAAACATAAAAACAACTCATCCGACTCACCTCCGACGCATTATCCGCCCTAGCCTTCATCAGGCGCTCCTGCTCCCGCTCAGCCAACCTTTTCCGAGTCTCCTCAATATCTTTCTGTTTCTGCTCCTCCATGCGTTTCCGTTCCTCTTCCACCTCCTTGCGCTTGCGCTCTTCTTCCTCCGCCTCTCTCCGAGCGTCCGCCTCGAGCCGCGCGATTTCGGCTACCATTACCGCCTGCCTCTCTTCGAGGAGTTTCCGGGCGGACTTCTCGTTGCCGGAAGTGGAGTTAGACATGTCAAGCAGTAATAGGAGTTAAAGGGAAAGTTTAATCGTCTCATGGGCGCCCCGGCCTACTTATATGCTCAGTGCTATTTTTACGAGCTCCGCCCATCATCTCGCATTCATACAACTCCGGACCGGACTTCTGAATCAGAAGCCTCATGGGCTCGGCCCTAAAGGGGGGGTACTGTCATATTCCGCGTTCCAGACCCGGACGTATCACATACATCATTTCCGGATATCCGGATCCGGCCGACTTCTATCTATGTCCGGATCCGACCCGCGTCTAACTTTCGTGCCTAATCCCTTTGTACGTTCCTATTCCAGTTAGACTATATCATTTTCCGTACCTCCTTTCACTTCCGCCTTTATTTTCCTCTGTTCTAATCTCCGGGTTCATTTACTATTTTCGATAGACTAGTGTTTGACTTTTGTATACCCTCCGTTCCACAGCCTCGCATAGCTTCGGACCGTGCTGGCTTGTCCTCCGTTAAGTCCTCCGTAGTATATAAACCCTGTAGAATCTATGTACATCTTTAGTTCGAATATTATCTTAGACTCTGCTCATTCTCTCCTCCACCCGACTTGAGTTATCCTCTCGTCAACCTCCGCTAAAGTCTTAGGGTCGATCCCGACAGACTCTTCACCTCCGCCTCTACCTTTGGTAGTCCTCCGCTGTTTCCTTTCTAGTTCGGACATCGTCCGGATTAGTCTTATTACCTGTTCCCGAACGTCCGCCGGAATTCCCACGCATCGGACATCGGACTCCGGACATCGTCCGATACTTCCGGACATCGCCCGACGCCCTTCGGACATTGTCCATTAGCCTTCAGAAGTTAGGGGCACGTACTCGGGTAAGGGGCACAGCGCACGAGCTGAAGCCAAGCCCTTCGGATTAAACCCTTGAGCACGATCTTAACAAGGACAAGTACCAGTGAATACCAGTTTTGACTGGGGACACCTCGGACTCGATGCAGGCAGTCAAGGCATTTTGAAGAACTACACTGTTACACAGCAGGGTCTCTCAGCAAATGTTACATGCCAGCCGATCGACCCCTCGGACAATACGTTTTCACCCACCCAATCCTCGCCGGTAATAGGACCTGCGGGCCTGAACGTCACGTTCCTGACGTGGCTTACCGTTGCGAATTGTTCAGGAAGTGTGTTCATCTCTGCCATGAACTTGTTCGCGATTAATCAGCTCCAGACGTAAATACAGTAACCTCCTTCATCGTTGGCCCCGCCAACGGTGTAGGACTGGAAGTCCTTGTAGCCTCGTAGAGGCTATTTAAGCAGTATCCCTCAGCATCCTATTGCTTTACTATGTGAAGCGCAGCTTTCCCGCGACCCGCGTGCATCGGCCGCTACTTTCCCGCGATGGCCGCAGTGTTCCCGCGCGCGCGCACAGCCGCGCTTAGCTGCGCTTTCTCGCGCTTCATCGGCCGACGTTTTGCACCATCTGTCCATGTCCAACCAACCCAACGGTACGTTATTCTATGATTATATTTACATATCAGACCATTTCCGCATCGCACCACCTTTATTTCATCATAGACCCTTATTTACATATAGCTTTACATACCTTACTCGGTAGCGCGTCGGCTCGGTTCCACATGACAGTGCTTAGCATCATACTTAAGTAGCAGTAGTACATATCCTTCAGTAGCTTGTTTTCCCAGACGTTGGAGTAGCAACTCCCTTTAGCCTACAGTTAGTAGCTATTGGCAATCCGTATCCGTTTACCGCCTGCACCGCGTTCGTTACCGCTCTGTTTTTCATCTATTTCTATTATCTGTCATCTCTATCATCACCTGAACCACCCGCGCTGCAGCCGCTTCGCAGCCGCGTTTTCACGCGCCTTCGGCTATCGGCTGCCGCTTCGTTCCCGCGCGCGCACCCGCTACTTTCCCGCGCTTCGCATCGGCCGCTAAGCAGCACCTTCGGCGCTCATTTCTAGACCTTTACTGCACTAGCTTCCCCTTTAGGGTCGAACGCACTTGTTCCGCAGGTATAGCAGACTAGGTGTTGGCCGACCTACAACATAAAGATATCGGTTTGGAGCCTATAGCACCATACTGAGTTGTAAACCTACAACGGTCTGCCAGACAATACAACACAGGGACTTCTCCCCATTGCTGCATGTCCCGACCCAAAATCAACGGCATTCAACCCATATAAATTTGGTATGGCTTTTCTTATATTCCTCGGTGTCTTGCCAGTAAACTGCTTGCAGATATCTTCATGACTGGTTTGTACAAGTACAATTTTCTGCCAACGATCGTTTGCGAGGTCGCTCCCTACCTGACCACTGTTAATATCCATTATAATGGAGGTATCATATCTGTCGATCGGATTGGCGCATCTTCCGGTTGGACAAGCAGTTCAGATTTTCCTGTATCTCAGTGGATCGCGAGTCTAATGGGTTATCAAAGGGCGGCAAACCAAGCCACAAGCACGAGTATAATTGGTGACTTTTTGACCGCATATGGTTCGAGCGATCCATCAGTGATGTACAACGGACTTGTAAAATTTTCCCCTTCCTCTAGTATCACTTGACTGATTACTTTGCAGGAAGATTACTGGCGCGGTATTGCGGAATTCTCCTCTACTGTAAGTGACCTTGATGCATTCCGTGGATATCATTGAAAACTGTATCTAGCAACTTCGATCCGGATACTCTGCCTTGGGAGTTCCGTCGAATATGACAAGGTCGACAAACGGCACTATGTATATCAGGACTTACGGCTGGCAAAGCCAATCCTACACGTATATATTTCTGCTTGTGATGCTCACCACAATCTGGGGTGCCACCATATTGGCCGCCGGCTACAGCCTCATGCAAAAAAAAACCACTGCCTCCAATCAATCTTTCGACTTTTTTAATCCCATTGATCTTATCATCGCGGCATCTGACGGAAGACTTGAACCGCAACGTTGCGACTACGACGAAGGCCAAGAAGACCACTGTTGGGATGACATCACTGTTCGCTTTGAAGATGTAACTGGTGAAATGAGGAGGAGAATTCCCAAGAGACTGGTGGTTGCCACAGATGGCGACCCCTTGACAGAGCACGTAGTTTGAAGATTTGCAAGTGCCGTTTGTGCCATGTACAGACGCCTAATCTCCATGCGGGTGTGGGCGGGGAGGGCCGAAATGGGTAGTAAATGTGGTGGATTGTTGGTTACGGTTCGATTTGCTGTTATGCCAGAAGGATTTTCGGCGTCCGATCGCTGTTTGTTTCGAGCATTGCACTTCATTCAATTGTATTCAATATATACCCGTATACCCTAGTTTTATCCTATACCACTGGTTTGATTACATATCGAAGTTCGCCTGTGTTCGCATCGGATTCCAGCAACTTGATTGTCATGTACCACAGCATTGCCTTTGTACACCTAAGTATCTCCTTTATACTCGTATCGCGGTAGCTCATCTGTAACACAAAAGCAGACCACGGATTCAACAATGGCTACACATTCAGATCCAAGTCACCACCACAGAATGAATTGCATTTGCACCCGAATGTGCGACCAATGTGTTTCCAGTGGAGAGCAAGGCGCTACCGGTTCTGGTATGGGAATCTCTGATGAACCCTGAACCCGGTGAACTGCCCGTGGTTGGAGACGCCAGAGAGAGCCTCAGATCCTCGATGAAGTCTACAAGCTTGCAAAAAAAGATCAAAAGGCGCTGGGCCACTGGCACGTTGATCAAGAGAGGATCTGGTTTGACAAACTTGAAGGAACACCCACGGGCGCACATCAGCAGATAAGGTTGAAGACGCCAAAAAGATGGTGACTCATGTCTGTGGTAGTGCCTGTGGACCCACACTCACCTGACTCACCTATCAGATGCTTATTAAATGGCTTAAGTGGTGGATGCAACCGCTAGCCATATACCAATCTCCATGCGGGTGTGGGCGGGGAGGGCCGAAATGGGTAGTAAATGCTTTAGAAGCCAGGATTGTGGTGTGCAGAGTCTTGGCGGCGGGTGTGGAACGAAGTAGGTGATTTATGTTAGGTAATGGAAAGTATGAAAAGAACCACGGAAACAAAGCGGAGACGAGACATACCTGAGAGTCAAGAGTTCGTTCTTCCCAGGACACCATGCACCTGCAGCGATGACGCTCTTGTCACCCGGCTTGACTAATTGTCATTCATGTTAGCATATACCGATCCAGTATTTCCAACTACGACTGACTCATTCTGTGAGCAAACAACGTGCATATATCCAGTCAGCTTGTCCGACTCTCATGCCAAGAGGTGTGTACTACACGTGATCCACGAGCAGTTAGATATCTGCAGCAAAAGCAAAATACTGCGAAGCTCACAAAACACAAAAATCCCCTTCCTGCCACTCCTCGAAAAACTTGCAGATAGTCCCTTCTTGTATGGTGTTTTATTGTTGCTGAAGCGGACCTACCCACACGACATCAGGTCCGCAGATCCACGGAAGGAAACATGTAAGGAACAAACATCTCTGTATATGCGGTGGGTGACGTCTTTAGGGGGTAACGGAGGAATCTCAGAGTCAACGTCTGTGAGCATGTCGGTGAACGCCTCGATAAACGCCTTGAACTCCTTTTCTACGCGACGGTAAACTGGGTCTGTTTGACAAATAAGCTCAGAGCTTCAGCCTGATGCATAAACCCTGCATACCGTGTAGCTTAAACCTAGAAGTGCAGGATGATTTTCAGTCAAGAATGGATGAACAAAGGCCGTGATAGAAGTGCAAACCATTCACGGTCATTACACGCAGGGTCCTTGAATTTCGCTAGAAAATCAAGCGTGTTCTGTGAAACCTGACCAGGAGGTACTTTAAAACCGGTAAGTTGATCATCCCTGAGGCAGAAAAAGACCGACTTACCCCAGCCTGTCTTTGGAGCTTGCACAACGCGACCTATGACTTGCTGCCCCTCCTTCAGGTCTACATTGCTACCATCTACATCATCTTCATCTTTCACATCATCTTCCTTGGCTTTGCGTTTGTTACGCTTGAGTTTGGGTTTCGAAGGCGAACTGGACTTGGAATTGGAAGAACGGATGCGTTTCTTGGGCGGCGTGTCGCTGTGAAGAGATTCGGGCTCTGAATCTTCATTGGATAACTGAGCGCGCTTGCGAGGCACAACTTTGCGTGTAGCTGGCATCGTGGTTTGCTAGAATCCAGTGCAATTGCAAAGACTGAAACAATAAACGATTTTAAATTGGCTGACTACGTGGGTACTAACAATCGCGGGGGCATTGTGAAAATGCTGCGCCATTGCTGCAACTGCTGCGCAGCAACTGCCGACCACTGCTGCCTAAATGGTGAGTGCGCATTAACTACACTTTCTTACTGCTAATCACTGGAACCTCCCAGTACTTGTCCTCCGAACGAGGTATAGACTCGAGGGTGCTCCGATTCCTTATAAGTATATCCGCGCTCCCAGCGCCACGGTCAGCCGATATCATCGAGATTCGCAGTACTCCCGGTCTGCAAGTCAGGTCTTTCTAACAACTATCTCGTTACTAAACGATCTTTCATATTGCATTGTAGTCTGATTCCTCCGCATACAATGTTATTTTTGTTTCTTTTTAATGAGCAACTGCGTAGTTGCGGGCATTTGTCTCAAGCCTGACGCGGTCATTGGCACCTTTCTTCGCATTCTCGGTCCTCCATGGGATTTTTTTACCTGTCGCTCCTGAGCACTGAGGTCCAGTCAGTCCAGTGACATATGTGTACAGCCCCACAGCTCAGGCATGTGCATGAGGATTAGCAGCTGAGCATGCTAACTTTTCGTTAGGTGTAGTATATGAGTAGGGTGGGATTGTCATCATGTTCATAACATATGCCACCATGACATTAGCATAGGATGTATATGACTTTTCTGAGCATTCCTGATGAACGAGTTTTCTTCAGCATGCAGTTGACTGATGAGTGTGAATTTTCATGTGGCAGGACGTGTGATGGTTTAGCAAGTTGGCTCATCAGAAACAATGATTCCGAGTCCAAGACACTTACTAGTATGCCATGTTCGAAAACCATCTTGCCAGTTCTCACTGGCAGCATCATCACTCCGTCCCTCATCGCCTCCTCAATTCCTGTTGACACAAGTTGCTCAAGCCACCAATAGCAGAAAGTCAGCTTGAGTTGGAATTGAATGTGAGGTACTGACAAGTGTCGCAGCACCTTGTCGCGGGCGTCGCGGTCATCGTGGGCACCTTCTTTCCATATTTGGGAAGTGCTGCGATATGGTGCCCACGACGACTGCGACGCCTGCGACATGGTGCTGCGACACTACTGAAAATGAACTCGAGTTGTGTAATACATGGTCCTTCAGCAGTTATGTTGCGCATCATAGTATTGCAGACTTGCGCATTGGAATACATATGTCAGTGGTGGATTTGCGTATCATTTCAGAAACCAGAATACACAAGTCTGAAATATGAGAAGTTGGAAGTTGGAACACACTATAGATTAATTTTCAGTAACACAGTTCAAGACATGTGCCAGGACATTAAGATTTCGAAGGGATAATGAAGAAGTTGATAAAGCGGCAAGAGAGTCAGCAATAACCAAGTGACTTTATATTAATCATGCAAAATCCTTCAAGGCAGCGATGCAGAGTTCAGGATATGTGGCAAGCAACAAGTGTCGTGAGTCAATTTACTGCTTAGCGTAAATTTGGAACGTCGCGGCAGATGCCGCGCAGCAGTCGCAGCAGTGGCGCAGCATTTTCGTAGTGCCCCAATCGCGGGCTTTGAACTTTATCACTAAATTGTGATGCCAGAGCGAAAACGCTATTGAACAACGACAACTGTATGTATGAGCTTCCTTTTCGTGGGTGATCGAGGGCCTTGATTGGAAAACAAAACGCACTTGCATCAGCTGCAATGACAGTCGACCATTTTATCCGAAGAACATGCCAAGGCGCCTATGATAACAATGAGAGGGTGTAAGCTGGACGCTTACCAACACGCTTATCTTATCGCACGTCATGTGACCTTTCCCCTTATATTCTGCTGCTCTTGTACCGTTTAGACCAGACTCGAGTCTCTTACCTACCATCACATACTCATTAGCACAACGCTCAAAGAACTCACAGTTTCGTCCTGTTACTTTCGCCTGATTAGTTCAGTGTTCCTTGTCGTTCTCCCGGACAAGGTTCCACTTTTTTTTTAACAGAAACGGAACTGGTTGATATCTCAAACTCGTCAACAATCGTTTCTCATATCGCCGGGTTACCCGCCCGCTACCTGACCTATCAAACTGCCTTCTACACGAAGGAAACCTACCGTCCCTGAACCCTTGACTACGCGACAGCGTGCAAGGAATCAAAAACAACAACCTCCTCCTGAACCGCCCCTGTCTCCTTTATCATCTATATCTTCGAACAACACGCCCGCCGGATGTGTCACTCGTATAACTGCGTACTACGACTCTTCATCCGATTCAGAACCTAACGACACGCATATATCGTATCCCCGCTATCGCAAGATGACGAAGTCCGCTAGCGTTGAACAATCTGCTCCCAACAAACCACCAAAACTTTTATCTGGCGAACTCACACCCGAGGTCGCGCGTGATTGGGACAATGCCTGCACGACATATTTCATGCACAAAGAAATCGACGCTACAGACCAAGTCAAGATGATAGCGTTCGGAATGCTAGATCCACGCCTACACACTTGGTATCTGACTCAACGGACAGTCTTAGATGCGGGAACATTCGCTGCTTACATGACCGCCCTCAAGGATGCTTGGCTCGAAACCCATTGGGATACCAAACTACGCAGAAAAGTTCTTGGATCACGACAAGGCAATCGTACGTTCTACGAATGGGCCTTGGAACTACAGAACCAAAATGCGCTACTATATGGCAACACCGCACACCTCTCAGATGTTCAGCTACGGAACCAACTAGAAGCTAATATCTGCGACGAGCTCACTGTCCCTGTTCTCAGAGCCCAACTCGCCGATACCCTGACTCTTAAGAATTGGATTGAGGAAGTCAAACACCTCGACGACAAACGTCTCGAGGACCTCGCATCCCACAAGAAAATCGCCGAGGAACTTTACAGATCCTCGAAATGTACCACCTCCTCCAGCAAACCATCATCCTCCAAGATGTATAATTTATCATCTTCTCGCCTTGGAACCCTGACGGAGACGGAACGTACCTTACTAATGAAGCACAGAGGTTGCTTCAAGTGCAGGAAGTTCTACGTCACACATCAGTCGAAGGAATGTACCGACGGCGCGCCTGAGGCATCTTCTTACAAGACGCTGACTGAAGCGGACGCCATCGCAGCCAAACCGAAGACTAGGACTGTAGCAGCTGTCGGTCCCATAGGAGCGGTTATGCCATCATCGGTACTTGATGATGGATCAGACTCGGAAGATGATATGTGCGTAGCCCCTTTTGAAACCGCCCACCTTATATGGCCCTGTCATTTGACGGGGCCCTCTTCCGATTGTTTTGAATGTCTCGACGCTTTGATTGACCACGGGTCACATCTAGTTCTGATTGACGAAAGCGTTGTGAACAAGCTCGGACTGCGTAAACGCAAACTGCATACAAAGATTGAAGCAAACTCAGCCTTCATGGACAATTCTTCTTCTTCTCCTGCGCCTTTTTCATTTTCGGAATATGTTCTACTCGCTCCTTCTTCCATTAATCATGACTGGACTTCACGTACGATACGCGCTATTATTGCGCCAAGACTCGCTGTCCCCGTCCTCCTTGGAGGACCTTTCTTATCACACAATTGCCTTGTTATAGATCATGACTCTCGCACATGTATCGCCAAAAATGATGGATATGATCTCCTAAACCCACCGTCGTACACACCCAAATTGAAGACTCAGATTCCATCGCACAAGAGCCTACTGCACCTTTGTAAGAATGTCGTCAACGAACTCAAAGACGTGCTGAGAAATCGACACGACAATCTTGGACCAGCGACAACATCGGAATCGCCTGACGTAGCTGCCTTGCTACGCCAGAGAATCAATACCCTGGCTTTCATCGAGAAGAACCAGGAACATCTTGACCGTCTTGACAAGGAAATGCGTCGAAAATATGAAGATAGATTTCCTGACGACATTCCGCATATTAACGAGTTACCAACAGACATCGTGCACCGTATAACACTGAAAGATCCGAACAAAATAATACAGTGCAGACGGTACAACACACCACGAAAGTACCGAGAAGCCTGGGATACTCTTCTGAATCAACATATCGCAGCTGGACGGTTACGACCTTCCGATAGCTCATTTGTCTCCCCAGCCTTTTTAATACCCAAGAAAGACCCTATGGCCCTACCTAGATGGGTCAACGACTACCGGGCATTAAATGCGAACACCGTGCCTGATAACCACCCACTCCCACGTATCGACGAGATCCTGCGGGATTGCGCAAAAGGAAAGATTTTCGGAAAAATCGATATGACGAACTCTTTCTTCCAGACACGCATACACCCCGACGACATCAAATATACAGCAATAGATACACCTAAAGGCCTACATGAATGGACTGTAATGCCGCAAGGAGGGAGGAACGCTCCGGCGACTCACCAACGTAGAATGTTCATCGCTCTACGTGGACTCATCGGGAAAATTTGTCACGCATACCTCGACGACATCATAATTTGGTCACAAACGGTCGCAGAACACGCCCGAAACGTCCAAATGGTCTTAGATGCACTGAGGGCGGCTTGCCTCTTCTGTTCTCCGAAGAAAACATCACTGTTCTGTACCGAGATTGATTTCCTGGGGCACCGAATCTCGGCTTCCGGTATTGAAGCAGATGCTGGTAAGGCAAAACGAATCCTCGACTGGCCAGTGCCGACATCAACGAGCGATGTACGATCGTTCTTAGGCCTGGTGAGATACCTGGATCAATTCTTACCTAGCTTAGCGGACCATACACGACTACTAACGCCTTTGACAACAAAAACGAGCGAACACGACTGGCCTGGCTGGACGGACATCCACCAGAGTGCCTTTGACGCCATCAAACGACTCGTCATCAGTCGAGATTGCTTGACAACCATCGATCACGACAATCTCGGCGACAACAAGATCTTTGTAACATGCGATGCGAGTGACTGGCGCGTAGGCGCAATGCTCAGCGTGGGACCTACCCCACAGACAGCAAGACCGGTAGCTTTTGATTCTATGCAGCTGCGTGAGGCTCAACTAAACTACCCGGTGCACGAAAAGGAACTGTTAGCCATCGTACGGGCGCTCAAGAAATGGCGGATCGAACTGTTAGGAACTCCCTTCACAGTGTATACCGACCACAGAACACTAGAAAACTTCCTAACTCAACGTGAGCTATCAAGACGACAGGCAAGATGGCAAGAGTTCTTCGCTCAGTATGATTTCAGCATCCAGTACATTCGAGGCGAGGACAACTCGGTTGCGGATGCATTGTCACGCTTACTGCCAGAATGCGATGACATGCCGACATACGTACGCCAGACAATACACATGCCAGCAGCAACCAGTGAACAAATCAAACCAATAGCCTTGGTCTTGTCTGTGACACCGGACGGTTCGTTGCTCTGCGACTTCAAGAAAGGATATCTGGCAGATTCATGGTGTGTAAAACTAACAAAATTAGTTGGTTCCCTTCCAGGACTCCAAAGTCGCAATGGTCTACTGTACCTAAACGATCGCTTAGTCGTACCTCGCGTGACACATCTACGAGAAACGATCTTCCGGTTGGCACACGACGAACTTGGACATTTCGGAATCGACAAATCGTACGAAGCGATACGAAGATCGTACTATTGGCCAAACATGAGACGCGACCTAGAAGAAAGCTACATCCCTGCATGTCCGGAATGCTCAAGGAACAAAAGCCGGACAACCAAACCTGCTGGACCTCTACACCCTCTCCCTGTGCCAGATCGTCGAGGCGACTCCATCGCGATCGATTTCATAGGACCGCTACCAGCAGAACACGGGTTCGACGGCATAATGACGATTACGGACCGCTTGGGTGCTGACATCCGTTTAGTCCCATGCCAAATGAACATGAAGGCTCGCGAGGTAGCTGGTTTATTCTTCGACCATTGGTACTGCGAAAACGGCATCCCGTTAAGTATTGTTTCGGATCGCGACAAACTCTTCACGAGCAAGTTCTGGAAAGCACTACACCGTCTAACCGGAGTGAAACTAAAAATGTCAACGGCATACCATCCACAAACTGACGGCGCTAGCGAGCGCACAAACAAAACTGTCGACCAGATACTGAGGTACTTTGTAGACAGACATCAGGCAGGATGGGTCAACGCACTGCCTTGGGTAAGGTTCAACCTCATGTCGACAGTTAACGCGTCAACAGGATACACACCATTTCACCTACATCTTGGAAGAACGCCACGCATGCTACCGCCACTAACGCCGGAGGGGGTACGAGCGACACGAGAAGATTTCCCAGCTGACATCGCAAACGCGCTCGACGCGATCGTATCACTAAAGACCGATATCGCAGACGCCCATGACGCCTTGGTAGCTTCAAGGATCGCACAAGCGAACACCGCCAATACCCACAGATCAGAGGAACCTGTGTTCAAAATCAGTGACTTCGCATACCTCTCGACTGCACACAGACGGAGGGAGTACCTCAACGGAAGCAACAAACGTGTAGCCAAATTCATGCCTCGGTTCGACGGGCCCTACACAATTGTTTCTGCAAACCCTGAGTCATCCACTTACACTCTAGATCTGCCTGATCACACTAACGTTTATCCCACCTTTCACATTTCGGAGCTGAAACCACATGTCCCAAACAACGCGGAGCTCTATCCTTCGCGAGAGCTCCAACGCCCAGGACCCATCGTGACAAAAACAGGGACCGTCGAATGGGAAATAGAGAGGATACTGGACAGACGAACACGTGGACGAGGACACCAATATCTCATCCGTTGGCGCGGATACGGTTCAGAAGCTGATGTTTGGGTACCCGGAAAAGAGCTTGAAGACTCAGACGCACTGGAAGATTACAACACCAGACACAAGTTGACAGATGAAGACGCAGTGACCGATGAAGACACACAAGAAGACACAACCGTTAGAAGAACACACGCCGATGAAAACGACACAATAGCTCGAGGAACGCAAACCGGAGAAAAGTCTTCGGAGAATGAGAGGGTGTAAGCTGGACGCTTACCAACACGCTTATCTTATCGCACGTCATGTGACCTTTCCCCTTATATTCTGCTGCTCTTGTACCGTTTAGACCAGACTCGAGTCTCTTACCTACCATCACATACTCATTAGCACAACGCTCAAAGAACTCACAGTTTCATCCTGTTACTTTCGCCTGATTAGTTCAGTGTTCCTTGTCGTTCTCCCGGACAAGGTTCCACTAAGATAACTGGACGAAACTGTGGATTTCTTTGGAGATTATGGATAAGTACGTGATGGTAGGTCGGAGACCCGAGTCTGCGTCAAGTAATACAGAAAGCAACATATATATATGGGGAAAGTGTCATGTGACGTGATACATAAGCCGATCGGCTTACACCCTCTCATTCTCTCAAGAATTTGCTATGGCGGTTGATCTTGTTCTTCATCAGTCTTCGTGCGTGTGCTATCTTCATCAGAGCCTCGTGGTCGTGTGGTACGTTCTTGCGTGGTACGTGTGGTATCTTCATCAGAGCCTCGTTCTTGTGTGATGTATTCTTGCAGTATGTCTGTATCTTCGAGTTCTTGTCCTGGCACCCAAACATCGGCTTCTGGGCCATATCCGCGCCATCGGACCAAGTACTGACACCCGCGCCCGCGTGTTCTTCTGTCGAGTATCCTTTCTATCTCCCACTCTTCCGTTCCGGCCGCCGTTACCACGGGACCCGGTCATTGCAGTTCGCGAGAGGGGAATAGGTCTGCGTTGTTTGGCACGTGCCGTTTCAGCTCTGAAACGTGGAAAGTCGGGAAAACGTTAGTATGTTCTGGTAGGTCTAGAGTGTAAGTTGAAGACTCAGGGTTCGCAGACACTATTGCGTAGGGTCCATCAAACCGAGGCATAAATTTTGCAACTCGTTTATTGTTTCCGTTGAGGTATTCGTGTCGTCGGTGTGCCGTTGAGAGATACACGAGATCGCCTGTCGCGAATGAAGGTTCGTCACTCCTGTGTGCGTTTGCAGCGTTTGCTTGTGCTACTTTTGATGCTAGCAAGGCATCGTGTGCGTCTGCAATGTCTGTCTTAAGTGAAACGATAGCGTCAAGCGCATTCGTGGTATCTGTCGGGAAGTCTTCCCGTGTTGCGCGCACGTTCTCCGTCGTCAGTGGCGGTATCAAAAGAGGTGCTCTCCCGAGGTGTAGGTGGAAGTGTGTGTACCCCGTTGACGCATTCTTCGTCGACATCATGTTGAATCTGATCCGGGGGAGTGCGTTCACCCATCCTGTTTGGTGCCTGTCTACAAAGAATCTGAGGGCCTGATCAACTGTTTTGTTAGTGCGTTCGCTAGATCCATCCGTTTGTGGATGGTACGCCGTTGACATTTTTAACTTTACCCCAGTCAGACGATGAAGCGCCTTCCAAAACTTACTAGTGAACAGTTTATCGCGATCGGATATAATGTTCAATGGGAGGCCATTTTCGCAGTACCAGTTGTTGAAGAACAGGTTGGCGATCTCTCGAGCGTTCATATTCATACGACAGGGCACCAATCGGATGTCCGCGCCTAGGCGGTCGGTGATGGTCATTATCCCATCAAAGCCCCTCTCGGTTGGTAAAGGTCCTATGAAGTCAATGGCGATGGAGTCACCGCGGCCGTCGGGCACTGGCAGTGGGTGTAATGGGCCGGCAGGTTTCGTTGTTCGACTTTTGTTCCTCGCGCATTCAGTGCAAGCCGGTATGTAACTTTCTTCGAGGTCGCGTCTCATATTCGGCCAGTAGAATGATTCACGGATCGCTGCGTATGATTTGTCTATGCCGAAATGTCCTAGCTGGTCGTGCGCCAGCCGGAAGATAGTTTCTCGTAAATGCGTTACGTGTGGCACTACCAATCGGTCGTTCAGGTATAGTAGTCCTTCGTGGTGTTGTAGACCTGGCAGTGAGTCAGTCAACTTCATCAATTTCACCACCAGGGATCTGTCAGGTATCCTGTCTGGATGTCTTTCAACATCAAGGTGTCTGGTGTCACGGACAATATCAGTGCGATGGGTTTGATGTGTTTGTCGAGTTCTGCAGGCATGTGTCGCGTCTGTTTTGCGTATGATGGTGCATCGTCGCATTCCGGGGGCAGTCGTGATAAGGCATCCACCACCGTATTGTCCTCACCGCGAATGTATTGGATAGTGAAATCGTACTGACTGAAAAATTCCTGCCATCTTGCTTGTCTACGTGACAATTCACGTTGCGTCAGGAAGTTTTCTAATGTTCGGTGGTCGGTATAGACGGTGAACGGAGTCCCTAGCAGTTCGATGCGCCATTTCTTGAGGGCACGTACAACGGCCAGCAACTCTTTCTCGTGAACAGGATAATTCAGTTGCGCTTCACGCAATTGCATCGAGTCAAACGCGACTGGTTTCGCGTTTTGAGGTGTTGGGCCAACACTTAACATCGCGCCAGTGCGCCAGTCGCTCGCGTCGCATGTCACGAAGATTTTGTTCTTTCCGAGGTTGTCGTGATCGATCGTTGTCAAGCAATCACGACTTACGACTAGGCATTTAATCGCATCAAACGCCGTCTGGTGTTTGTTTGACCAGCCGGGCCACTCGACTTCACTAGACTTTGTCGTTAATGGTGTTAGAATCCGAGTGTGGTCCGCGAGATGAGGCAAGAATTGGTCTAGGTATCTGACGAGTCCTAAGAATGAGCGTACATCGCTTGTCGATCTCGGTATGGGCCAGTCCAGGATTCTCTTTGCCTTCGAAGTGTCCGCCTCGATACCAGCTGCTGAGATGCGGTGTCCTAGAAAGTCGATTTCGGTACAGAAAAGGGCCGTCTTCTTTGGTGAGCAAAACAGGCTCGCTTTTCGTAGTGCCTCGAGCACTAGTTTCACGTTCTTCGCGTGTTCGGCGACCGTTTCGGACCAGATAATAATATCGTCGAGATATGCGTGACAAATCTTCCCTATCAGTCCATGTAATGCGATGAACATCCTGCGTTGGTGGGTCGCAGGTGCGTTTCTGCCACCTTGAGGCATCACGGTCCATTCATGTAGTCCTCGAGGCGTGTCGATCGCGGTGTACTTGATATCGTCTGGGTGTACTCGTGTTTGGAAAAACGAGTTAGTCATATCTATCTTGCCGAAGATTTTACCTTTTGCGCAATCACGTAGGATCTCATCGATGCGCGGTAGAGGATGGTTGTCCGGCACTGTGTTCGCATTCAGTGCGCGGTAGTCGTTTACCCACCGTGGCAGTACTGTTGGATCCTTCTTCGGTATGAGGAATGCAGGGGACACAAACGAACTAGATGATGGCCTTAGGCGACCCGCTTCGATATGTTGGTCTAGCAGTGCGTCCCAGGCCTCACGGTATTTTCTCGGTGTATTGTATCTTCTACATTGTATTATTTTGTTCGGGTCCTTGAGCGTTATTCGGTGTACGATGTCTGTTGGCAGTTCGTCGATGTGTGGGATATCATTCGGGAATCTGTCGATGTACTTTCGACGCATTTCCCTGTCGAGGCGGTCCAGTTGTTCTTTGTTGTTCTCTATGAACGCTAATGTGTCAATTCTTTCTCGCAACAAACTTGCCACATAGGGCGTGTTGGGCGTGTCGATTGTCGTATCCATTTCGTTGGTGTTTTGACGATTGTCCAAGGCAGTCTTGAGTTCGTTGACAACCGTCTTCCGCAGGAGCAACATCTGGTGTCGAGACGGTATATGTACCTTTCCTTTGCGTGCGCAAGTGGGGGGGTTCAACAGATCGTAATTTGAGCCTTTCACCATACATGTCCGCGAGTCATGATCTATAACAAGGCAATTATGTGATAAGAAAGGTCCTCCAAGGAGGAGTGGCACAGCCAGTCTCGGTGCAATAATAGCGCGAACCGCGCGCGAAGTCCAATCATGATTAACAGAAGACGGAGACAACAGAACATATTCAGAAAAGGAGAAAGGGGAAGAAAGAGAATCGTCCATAAACGCCGAATTGGCTTCGATCTTTGTATGTAGTTTGCGTCTACGCAGTCCAAGTTTGTTGACGACGCTTTCGTCAATCAGAACTAGATGTGACCCATGGTCAATTAACGCGTCGACACGTTCAAAGGAATCGGATGATGGTCCTGTCAAGAGACAGGGCCACATGATGTGGGCGGTTTCAAAAGGGGCTACGCACATGTCATCCTCAGAGTCAGTCCCATCATCAAGTACCGATGATGGCATTACCACGCCTACTGGTCCCACTGCGGCAACTGTTCTTGTCTTCGGTTTCGCCGCGAGGGCGTCCGATTCTGTGAGTGCTTTGTAGGCCGAGGCGTCGGGTGCTCCTTTATGCTTCATCAGCAACGCGCGTTCAGAGTCTGTCAGTGAACCCAAGCGGGAGGACGACGTATGTGTCTTCGATGATGAGTTCCTGCTAGTGGTTGCGGTGCATCTAGACGACTTGTGTAGGTCCTCGGCTATCTTCCTGTGAGCAGCGAGGTCCTCAAGACGTTTGTCGTCGAGATGTTTGACCTCTTCGATCCACGTCTTGAGTGT